TGAATTGAATCTCCTTACGGTTTAAAGGTGTTTGCAAAAACGAGTTACACTCTTATATTAAATTTTTTGTTGTTAATATAGCTGTGTACAAAAACGGGTTGCACTCTTAAAATTATATGTATAAAGTGTATAAAGATGTGTACGAAACGAGTTAAACTCTTATATAAAATCTTTTTCTGGCTATATAAGTGTGTACAAAAACGGGTTGCACTTTTAAATTGATGTATGTATGTATGTGTGTGCAAAAACGGTTAACACACTTATATACAATCTATTTTGGCTATACAGGTGTGTACAAAAACATGTTGCATTTTTAAATTTAATCCATATAAGGTATTTATATGTGAGCAAAAACTGGTTTCACTCTTAAAGTGCATGTATGAAGTGTATATAGATATGTACAAAAACGGGTTACACTGTTAAATTCTCAGTTTTGAAGGTATATAGGTGTGTACAAAAAACCGGTTGAATTTTTAAATTTAATATCTATAAGGTATTTATACGTGTGCAAAAACGGGTTGCACTCTTAAACTGTATGTATTAAGTGTATATAGATGTGTACAAAAACGGGTTGCACTCTTGAATTGAATCTCTTTAAGGTATAAAGGTGTGTGCAAAAACGAGTTACACTCTTAAGTACAATCTTTTTTGGCTATATAGGTGTGTACAAAAACGGGTTGCATTCTTAAATTGAATCAATTCAATGTATTTATGTGTGCAAAAACGTGTTACACTCTTACGTAGAGTCTATTTTGGCCATGTAGGTGTGTACAATAACGGGTTGCACTCTGAAATTGAATCCATTTAACGTATCTATGTATGTACAAAAACGGGTTACACTCTTAATTGAATCTCTTTGGGGTATATAGGTGTGTGCAAAAACGGGTTACAGTCTTATGTCTTATATATCATCTATTTTGGCTTCATAGGTGGGTACAAAAACGGGTTGTATTCTTAAATTTAATCTATATAAGGTATTTGTACGTGTGCAAAAACGGGTTGCATTCTTAAAGTGCATATATCAAGTGAATATAGATGTGTACAAAAAAGGGTTAAATTGTTAAATTATTTGTTTTTAGGGTAAAGAATCTAATCAGGCTATATAGACGCGTACAAAAAAGTGTTGCACTCTTAAAATGAAGACATTCAAGGTATATATGTATGTGCAAAAACGGGTTAAACTCTTACATTTATTCTAATTAACGTGTTTATGTATATACAAAAACAGGTTGCATTCTTTAACTTAATCTATATACGGTATTTATACGTGTGCAAAAACGAGGTGCACTCTTAAATTGTATGTATCAAGTGTATATAGATGTGTACAAAACAGGTTGCACTCATGAATTGTATAAAGGTGTGTGTACAAACGGGTTATACTTTAATATACAATTTTTGACTATATAGGTGTGTAAAAAACAGGTTGCAGTCTTAAATTGAAACAATTCAATGTATTTATGTGTACAAAAACGGGTTGCACTCTTAATTGAATCTCTTTGGGGTATATAGGTGTGTGCAAGAACGGGTTACAGTCTTGTGTCTTATATATAATCTTATTTGGCTTTAAAGGTGGGTACAAAAACGGGTTGCATTCTTAAATTTAATCTATATAAGGTATTTGTACGTGTGCAAAAACGAGTAACATTCTTAAAGTGCATATATCAAGTGAATATAGTTGTGTGCAAAAACGGGTAACACTCTTATAAAGAATCTAATGGAATTTAAAAGTGTGCAAAAACGGGTTGCACTCTTGAAATGAATCTCTTTACGGTATAAAGATGTGTGCCAAAACAAGTTGCTCTCTTTTACATACAAATTTTTTTGGCTATATAAGTGTGTACAAAAAACAAGTTGCACTCTTAAATTGAATCAATGCAATGAATTAATGTGTGCAAAAACGGGTTACACTCTTACGTAGAGTCTATTTTGGTCATGTAGGTGTGTACAATAACGGGTTGCACTCTGAAATTAAATCCATTTAACGTATGTATGTTTGTGCAAAAACGGGTTACACTCTTCATTGAATCTCTTTGGGATATATAGGTGTGTGCAAAAACGGGTTAAGTCTATGTCTGATATACAATTTTTTGGCTATATAGGTGTGTAAAAAACAGGTTGCAGTCTTAAATTGAAACAATTCAATGTATTTATGTGTACAAAAATTAATTGAATCTCTTTGGGGTATATAGGTGTGTGCAAGAACGGGTTACAGTCTTGTGTCTTATATATAATCTTATTTGGCTTTAAAGGTGGGTACAAAAACGGGTTGCATTCTTAAATTTAATCTATATAAGGTATTTGTACGTGTGCAAAAACGAGTAACATTCTTAAAGTGCATTTATCAAGTGAATATAGATGTGTACAAAAACGGGTTACACTGTTAAATTATTTGTTTTTGGGGTATATAGTTGTGTGCAAAACGGGTAACACTCTTATAAAGAATCTAATGGAATTTAAAAGTGTGCAAAAACAGGTTGCACTCTTGAATTGAATCTCTTAACGGTATAAAGATGTGTGCCAAAACAAGTTGCTCTCTTTTACATACACATTTTTTGGCTATATAAGTGTGTACAAAAAACAGGTTGCACTCTTTAATTGAATCAATGCAATGAATTTATGTGTGCAAAAATGGGTTACACTCTTATGTAGACCCTTTTTTGGCCATGTAGATGTGAACAAAAACGGGTTTTACTCTGAAATTGAATCCATTTAACGTATGTATGTTTGTGCAAAAACGGGTTACACTCTTAATTGAATCTCTTTGGGGTATATAGGTGTGTGCAAAAACGGGTTACAGTCCTGTCTCTGATATTCAATCTTTTTGGCTATATAGGTATGTACAAAAACGGGTTACACTCTTTAATTTAATCCATTTAAGGTACGTGTGCAAAAAACGGGTAACACTCTTAAATTGCTTGCATCAAGTATATGTAGATATGTACAAAAACGAGTTATATTGTTAAATTAACTGTTTTTAACTTTTTAGGGTATGTAGGTGTTTGCAAAAACGGGTGACACGCATATAAAGAATCTATTGTGGTCATATAGATGCGTACAAAAACGGGTTGCACACATAAAATGAAGCCATTTAAGGTAAAAATGTAAATGCACAAACGGGTTACAGTCATTAATGTTATCTAATTAACGTGTTTATGTATGTACAAAAACGGGTTGCACTCTTAAAATGAAGGCATTCAAGGTATATATGTTTGGCAAAAGCAGGTTGCACTCTTTAATTCATTTTAATAACGTGTTTATGTATGTACAAAAACAGGTTTCCTTCATAAATCAAATTTATATATGATATTTTTTACGAGTGCAATATGGGGGTTGCAGTCTTAAATTGTATGTATCAAGCGTATATAGATGTGTACAAAAACGGGAAGCACTCTTGAAGTGAATCTCTTTACGGTATAAAAGTGTGTACAAAAAACGGATTGCACTCTTATGCGGAGTCTATTTTGGCTTTGTAGGTATGTACTCTTGAATTTAATATATATAAGGTATTTATAAATACGTGTACAAAAACGGGTCACACTCTTTATATTCATTTTGTATAAAAATCTGGACATAAAGTGTTCCCTCGGAACCATTAATCACAACAAAATTACATGAAAATTGAAGACTCAGTTTGATTGAATCTGTACATGAGGGTTAATGAATAAGTGCAGCATCCCTCAAGCCCCCTAGCACCGGCATGAGCTGTATTCAATTCTCAGTACTTAATAGTCCCCGAAGAACCAAAAAAATATGACAACACTTAAGTGAAGTACGGGCAACTGCTGCCACACACCTTACAGTATTTATGCCTGTGCAAAAAAAGAAAAAAAAACAGGTTGCCCTCTTATATTGTATTTATCAACAAGTACTGTATCAAGTTGTGTACAAAACGGGCAACACCTTTTAACTAGATATAATTAAGGTACATGTATTTATGAATGTACACAAATGGGTTGCACTCTTATATAGAATCTATTTTCGGTATATAGGTTTGTTCAAAAACGGGTTGGGCTCTTAAATTGAATCATATTGCGGTATATAATTAAGCTTGTGCAAAAACGGATTTCACTCCTCTCAATTGTATACCATATTTGCTATAACATTATTTACCCAATAAATATCTATGTTTTTCTATAACTAAAATTAAACACTTTTTTCTTCCCAAAACAGATGTGAGAGATACATAAATAATGTTTAAAAAAGAAAAAGAAATAAAATTTAGACCCTTCTAGGTATTGAACTCACGCCCCTATTCAATTTCAGAACTCTTCATAGCGGAGGTAATAACATAACGGTTTGTCTAAATAGCAAAGAGATTTTGTTTGAAAAAAGTTCGCAAATTTATTGTTTTAAACAATCCAAAAATGCAAACAAATGTGTGATTGATCCAACTTTTCAAGTATTAGGTTATTTTAACTAACAGGACTAATGATGTGCTTCAATTTTTCTAAACTGTGAGAATATAATTTATTCTATCATTTTCTTCCGCGCTTCATTGCCGTTTGGGCGGAGTTTGCAAAAACGCTCTACACTGTATTGAGCAAAAACGGGTCGCAAAACAGCTCTCCCCGAACCATACATATGACGGATATTTTGACTTATCTACCGCTAATGGACGTGCCTTTAATTCAATTGCTCATGCACTCCAAATCTATTCTGTTTGCTTAGTACGGCTTTGACCAGGGACGGATTCGAGTGTTTCAATAAGCTTATAGCTTCCAACACAATCAAAAATTAATTAATACAAAATAAATCTGCTCTATTTAGGGTTTATAATTTATATTATTTAAAAGCTTTTTTGGCTCGTTTCACCGAGAGCTCATAGCCGAATTATAGTCCATTTTCCTCTTTTATTACTATAACCAGCTTAGAATGAAACTGATCGGATGAAAAGAAAGTTATGAGCAGTTAATTGTTTAAATGCTAAAAGTACATCAACAATACATTGGGGTATATGAAGTATAAGCTATCTATAAGCATATTTCTATAAAATAAACACATTTTACATTGCATCAAATTTTTATTGATATAAGTACATGTACTTTCAATAATCCATATTGATTAATCGACTTGCATTTAACAATGCTATAGGTTTGTATCAAGTACTGAACAGAACAGAACCGAAAAAAAGAAACACAAACAAAATAATTATTCAAATCTAGAACTTCAGTCATCAGTTTTTCCACCTTCTACATGCGTTTACTGAAATAGAGAACATGAGATCACTTTAATGTCATATTCACTCTGAACATTAACCACGGTGCAAATGTTTGTAATCAAACAAATTTTGGACAAAAGATTTCATCATCCTCCAATAAAAATAGAATATGTCATGTCAAACGAGATTTCAATCAAACGTAGATTGATGATAGTGACCGTACCAGATCTCATACAGCAAACAAATAAGATTTTAATTATTCATAAACACATAAGTATCGTTTATAATGTATTGCCATAAACCACTGAAATTATAAATTTTATAAACATGTCGAATTTCATAAAACACATATTATTTTTCTAAATTTCTCAACTGCGAAAGGCTTAATGTAGTAGTGTTAGAACTTGTTCTCCAACTCATTTGATTTTGTTTTATTATTCTAATTTGTGTGCATACTTGCATATATAAGGGCAATAAAATATGGTTAAATTATAAACGAGATACAAGACGTGAACGAATAATAATTTAATTCCAGCATAGTAATCATCTTCATATTTGTTTTGAGATAATATCTTTAGAAATGGTTATTCTTGAAAGCTTACGAAAATGAAAATGTTTGTGCAATCTAGCTAGCCCAAGTGCCTATAAAATATTGTTAAACATGAATTAATTTGTAAGTTATGTCAGTATGTGTATGGGTTTTTTAAAAGTAGACAATTTTAATAACATCCCTTCTTTCTTTTATTTTATTAATGAAAATTCGAAAGATTTGGTAAATGATGGCCATGGTTCACAGCCGGGTAGCTTAGTCAGTAGAATTCTGTAGGATTTGCAGGTTCTGGATGGTTCCAGTCCAATTCTGACTCCATTCTTTTCATTATGGTATATTGAAAGTATTTAAGATAGTACAGAAAGAATTTATAAAAATGATATTTCATATATCAAAACAAATTGATACTGATAACTCACCTTTTCGCAGATATAAGCTTTAAAAGCATTACATGGATTTGCGTCCCAAACAAAAGGAGAACCCCAGTCTACATAAATTACCACACAATCGTTTGAATCCGAATTAAAATAAATCCTGTCCACTACTGATGTTGGTGTTAGTCCCGAATAGTACCACACAAATTCAGTTTCTGTACTTGTGTCTGTTAATCCACTCCATGCATCTGTAAAATAAATCAAAAGGGTCATTATGGCCCTGGATCGCTCACCTAAAATATATTGCTAGAAAAGGTCACACTTTTCAAATGCAGAAGTAATTAGTTCACATTTGGCGTGACATTTTATTACCCAACTACATAATTAATTTAAATATTTTAAGACAGTTGCTAATGCTTTAAATTTATGCCAAAATCTTCACACAAGAATATTTATATGTGTTTTACTATACAATTCTTTATCGCATGGTTTATTATACTCAGTACACTTTCAATGATCATTTGAAAACTGAATTGATATATATAGCACCTTGTATATATCACTATAGTTTTTTCACCGAGGCTCCAATTTGGGCAGCGGTAACGAACATTCCCAGTAGAAAAAAAATAAAAAAATAAAAAAAAATAACTATGAACGAAATAAATGAAATGAATTTATTCTCATATAATTATGCAAATGCTGAAATCAAAAGGTACATCCGCTGAATGAATTATTTACACTGAAAAAGCCCTTAAATCTTGAATCCGAATAACTTTCTCCTCAAACTATCCGTTTACAATCCGCCTCTAACATTGGACGTTGTTTTAAGTTTCAATGTTATGTATAGCACGGTATTGGTTTATTTTATCTGGGAGTGAGAAGGTGTTAAAGTGAAAGGGCACAATAGAGACAAATGCAGTTTTTCTTTGATGTTTTTTGTTTGTTTGTTTGTTTGTTTTTTTATTTTTTATTTATTTTTGTTTTGTATTTTTCCTCCTGTTTTCTATTACAAAAAAATGAAAATGCGATATTTAAAGCAGTTGTAGTATATGAAACTCGTTAGTAACGGGGGTATAACAATTGGGGCGTCATTTCGAGATGTTCCTACAAAAGAATAGTCTCGGCCTAACGGCATCGACATTATTTAAGAGAAACACCCGTTCATATCGCCCAACCAGTGTTATATCCTCGTAACTAACTCGTTTCATATACTATAACTTTTACTTATAAATTACTAGTAAGTGATCCCTTGGCGAGCACAATTTTGATCTCTTTGACAGGATTTATATAGCTTTTGTAAACTTTTATTTTCAAATAAATTTAGTGCTCATCAAGGAGCTGTTAATGTTTTATATCAGACAAATAAACAGGCAAATACACAATTCACACTATCTTAAGATAAGATTTATAAAGTTTTAATTTCCATATACTGAGAACGCAAGTATGTAATTATAACATGGTTTAAATATTTGAGGAGCTAATGGATTATCTTTTTTATCTTCCCTCCTAAAGAAAATGTGTGTTACCCTACAATGTTGGGATGTTGCTTTAAAATCTGGATAAAGGGAAATAGAGCCCACATTAAAATTAAATAGAATACAGATCAGCCCTCGAAAATTTTCCCTTTGGGTATGGTGCCAATTTAATTTAAAAAAAAGATGTTTTAAAAAAGTGCAAAAGGGAAAAACTTAAATTTTAAAAGAAGATGTTTAAAAAGTTTTTAACTATAAAAAGGAAAAAAGGCAACCCCCTGAAAGGGGAAACCAAGGTGACCCCCGGGGAAAATTTTAAAAAAACATTTTTGTTGATTTTGGGTTAAAAAAAATTTCCCAACACACAAAAAAAAAATTTTAACTACATGTTTGTATTTTTAAGAAAAGTTTTTTAAAAGATTTCTTTTTCCAACTGAACACCGATAAAATTTTGGGACAAAATTTTTATAAACAAAAGTTAAAATTGAGCACTCTGATGAGCTAAAGATATAAGCCCATTGTATGACTTTCTTTCCTGGATTTTAAGAATGCATAAAACTTATAGTCTAACCGCCATAAATGAAATTTATGAAATGAAATGTATGTACATGTATATTAAGAGATTGAATACTTATCAGTGTGAGCAGAATTAAACCATTCTCTACACTTTCTATCTAACTTATTTTTCTATCATGTTGATTGCTACTGCTGTCAATTGCATGAATCATGACAGTTCTCAACCAAAAATAAAAAAGACTGACAAAGCATTAATTATAATGTTTCATTATCTTGGCTTATTAAAGAAAATATAATTTATTGTAGGCTTACCAAAATAAAATGTTATTTTTTTTACTTACTACTTTCTGCCAATAAATCAACAAAGTTACGTTCAGCTTCGGTTGTGATTTCCACCAGGTATGCACCTTTAGACTGACAGTCGCTCTGTAGGAGATAATACAACCCAATATATAATCGTTTGTGAATGCAACCATTTGTATTAAATTTCATTTACCAAATTAATTACATTATGCGCATAATCTGACTTCAATGGAAAAAAAATATACACAAAATATATTGTATATTGTATAGGCTTTCAGTCCACCTAAGCCGCTTTGCAGGATAACTTACCAATGATTAGATAGTTATCGATGACTTTTTTGGAGAGGGGGGTAGGAGGTTGTCTTCAACCTGATGCCTACTAGAGTTCAAACACAATATCAATCTATCCAGTTACTGTCCTGAATGTTTTTCCCCCACAAATTAACCATAATTTTTTTAATACGTACATTTTGTATTGTCAGAGTATTTTGATTTAAAATGCAAGAGTAGTTGTTTTTGTTTTGTTTAACAGCTTAAACCCAGTAACTCCAATGTACCTTCATTCGTATTGATAACTTGTGAAAGTGGAAGTGGTTACATTATTGTTGTCATTAAATTATTTATTTTATTTTGATTTTGTGTTTTGTCCTAAATAGAGATAAATGTGTATAGCGTTTGCAGGTTTGTTCCATAAAAAATTCGCAAACATGTTTCCTCACAGGTATGTTGCAGTAACTTGTAAACTTTTCTTTCATCATTAATAAGTTAATGTTATATGCCAAAACTGAAATGATATTTGCCATGAATCACTTACTATGTATAACATGTATTTTATAAACAGTTACTGTAGTGGAATATAAACTGTTGTGAAACGATACAAATATTTCTGCTAACAATCATTATGGAACGATACAAATATTTCAGCTAACAATCATTATTGAAATACCTTCGCAGAATACCAATCTAAAGGCGTAGAAACATAGAGATAGCAGCCACCTTCAAATATGGTCCATCCGTCATCAACATTACATGTTTCTTAAAAAGAATACACAAATCAACATAATTAAATATTTTATGCAGATCACTTATTCATTGATTTAAATAATTATGGAATCGTTACTCATTGGCAAAGTTAGAGTATTTCTATACTGTAGTGGTTTCCTCATTTGCAAACGTAGAGACAGCCAGACAAAAACTGCTCCCGATTTCAGTCCGTCCTTCAGGACACGCCGGGAAAACATGTACCATATATTAATTGCAGCACTGTATTTAATCTTTGCTTTATTTTTTTTAATTATGTAGTTTTCTGTAACAAAAAGATAATTGGCGTAACTATAGAACATGGATTTTGCAGCAGATATTATTCAAACTGTACTGTATAACAAAGAAAATACTTATTTTAAATGTCTTTCAACATAAATATTTTAATATCTTAAGAACTATCTTCTATATATTAAATTACTAGCATACACAATTTTATTTAATCTACATTTTTTATCTAGCATTTTATCTAGCATTGCAATAATTGCTTATAATACATTCAGTGTACGAGTATAAAGATGTTACCAATCTTAGTCTCACAGTTGCTCCCTGTATACCCCGAGTTGGAACAGTCACATAACACTTCATTAAAAGATTTGAAACATTGTGAATTAACCCTGCATCCACCTAAATGAAATTTAAAAAAATAACATTTTTAACATTTAATTATTCAAATTAATTACACGAGGTCGGTTGTAATTCAAGCATTTGATACTAAAATTATATTTGACCTCGGTACTAATAGTCTGAAGTTAACATCAAATGATGTCTATTACATATAGCCAGCAAATTTGGACATGTCTACATATATAAAGGCCCAAACAAAACGAATCTTTGTTTTTAAATTTTGGAAGTGTATTTTAAATCAAAATTTTTGTGTAAATTTAAAAATTTAACAAGATTTTTCCACGCACCCACGTGGTTTTTTAGTTACTCACAAAAAGTGATTAATGGATTTTTTCCCCCTTTGGGAAATGGGGGCGGCCCTTTTAAGTATTTTTAAAAATTATTTATTTTCCCATAAATTAACAATGATAATTTATTCTAAAAATTAATTAGTATTTTTCAGGGGAAAATAAAAAAAAGTCCCCAATCAAAAACATAACATTTTTTTTTTCTGTTTGAAACCTTTCCACTTTAAATTATACTCACGAAAATTTTTACTAAGATGACAATATTTTTTTGTTTTGCTTTATATCCAAAGGACGAGCAAACTAAACATACTGAAATAACACTTTATGTTTTTAGCTATAGTTCTCTCCCCTGGCCGCTCTGCTCACGTAAACTTTTCAAATGTTTTACTACATTAAAATGATGGTGCGGTATGATAAAAAGGTACCACATGTCTCTCAGGCTAATAGCGCGTATTAGCGGATATTTCAGTTATCGGGTTGCTAAAATGCACTGTTACCCCGAGAGACATGAGTATTATTGCAAATATCAATACCGCTATAATTATATATTCTCGTGATAAAACTACCGCCACGTATATTGAGAAAATACTCAGTATGTTTACTTACAGGGTTGACATCTTTTCTTACTCTTTTTACCCTCCTCATTATCTTCCGCTAAACAAGCTGTACCATTCGGACACTAGAAATTATTGAAAACCATTTTCATCATAAACCAATAATGTATGAAAAGAAACGAAATAACTAATATCTACAGTGTAAAGATATAAAACTTTGAAATGAAAATATACATGGAAATATATAACAAATTAAAAAAAGTACAACATATAATCAACACACTTAATAAAAAATAAATCTTAGATCGGCCACCAACACTGCCAAATTGAACTTGATTCTGCCTCGGAATCAACCCAACTAGTTATACGCTACGATAAATTATGTGACCGCCCCCATGCCCCTACCCAAATCTATCCGCGCAAAGTCCCTTAGAACTGGTCATATTTAAAAGGCAAACTAACAATCAAAAACAAATTTTTAATAAATGAAAGAAAGAAATGAAAAATGTACCTGGCAGCTATCAAGACACCTTTTCCCATTCGGTCCATTCCTCAAAGAATGTAATTCAACCGACGTAAAATAATGCGTTAAAAACACAACACATATCTGGAACAAACATAAATTTGCTTATTTATTTATTTATTTAGTTATTTATTTATTTATTTCAGTATGTTTGATATTTTTGTCAGTTATGAATATGTATGTATTTGATGCTGAATAAAATTTGTTGTTGTTGTTGTTGTATATCAATATTAGCCAGAATCAAATCACAATGTAAATTTAATGACTTTTTTCCGTCTGTTGCTTTGCACACATTGACTGTAGATCCATTTTTTTTATAATAATTGATTAAATACTACTTGACAAACACATACAAATGTTTTATAGTAAGGCTTTTCAAATCAATTAAATCCTCAAATACAAAAGTCTTGTTTTATAAATATAAATTATTGTAATTAAATAATCTACATTGATATATTTATACCTATGTCTGCGTTATTGAACATTTTTTGAGATAGCATTGTCAAAGGAATTAAATTACTCAGAAAAAAATCTAGACACATCCATTGCTTGATAAAATTCAAGAAAATATTTAAATGTTCAACAATTGCAAAATCGTAAAACATGCACATTAACCATTTCCATGTTGAATTACAATGTAATATACTAATGTTTTGATTTTCCCCGCTTTGGATTGTGGCATTTTCCATTCTAATAAGCCAGCAAGTCATTAAAAAATGATACCTGGTCTACTTTGGTTCTATACTGGCAAGAAAATATCATGAAAAAAAGAAGAAAGAACTTCGAAAAATGCAATAATTAGTGTGAAATGAACGGAGCAGCATTTGAATTAGACTAGGTAAAAAAATTATCAACTATTCGCAATACATTGGTATTATCAATCAGACCGATACGCGTGCAATTAAGAGACTTGTCCATAATTTACAAATGAATGAAATTTTGCAACTTCGTAGCACTGAGGGAGATGAAATATAATAAAAATAAAGCACCGTGCATAATAACAAAATTTAAACGCGTTTAATGCAAAGTGTCGTCTTTTACGTCAGCTTTAATAGGAATTTCATTTTTGATATTCAAAATATCATATTTATTCCAGTAATTGCATCCACGTTTGCAAAGACGAATATTAAAGACAAACGATTTACAATAATTCTATATGAAGTATAAAAAAATGATCTTACCAACAGAGGGAAAGTCAAACTTTTCATAACGGCAACAATTTCTGTTCTTTTGTTTTGATTTTCCTGTATTAACATTCAATATAATAATAAAATCAATATGATGTACATAATTAATTTTAAAGATGATACAAATAAATTTCATAGCAAGGATATTTTGATAAAAATACATTACATTTACTTAAAAAATTACAGTTTGGTTAGAATATAATATGTATGCATCGTACTCATAGTGACATTATGCTTATCCAAGAGGAACTGATGGATGTTCAGGTAAAACTAAAATAACCTTACATTTTGTCATATTTGTTGCTATAATCTACACCCGAGTAATCAATAGCTCCCGTGACGTTCATAAATATCTATAAATATTCTTCGGAAAATACATATAAAAAGTGTGGGGTCTTTTTATATTTGAAGCAGATTTTTGTATTTTATCCTAAACATTTATAATTATCAATTATTGTTCAATCGCCGTTAAAATATTTATCAATTATTGTCCAATCGCCATTATAAGAGTCAATCTCGGCTTGGCAGTGAAAAAATAATGAACATGATATCACTTCATGAATATAACTTATCTAAAAGATAAACTCACTTAGAAATGTTACAAAAGCTTTTAAAAATTCAGAAGTATGTAACATTCAATCAATGACTTCACACATTAAGCGTAAGATATAACATTTTATCATTGTTCTTAAAACCTTTATATTTACCAAAATACTAACATAAAGAAATTAAGGGACATTAAGTATGTATTTATTATCATATAAGAACCTTATCTCACACCAAACATATTCTCAAACCGTTCATTCATGAACTGTTTATTTTTACAAGAAGGGACCTTGATGTCATAAACTTGTGTGCATAAAAGCTTAGTTTCTGACAGACACGCTGCAGTCAAATGAAAACAATGCATTAAGGAACGGAAATTTTAAATTACATATTTTATTACTTTGTGTAATTTTAAACAAATTGCTTTTGCTGTTAAGTACACCATTCACCAATTGTGAGAACAACAAAAAAAATCTTAAAATAGAAGATTGAAGTTCAAACAGACTGTGAATTTATCGAATTCAAAATATGACTTATTTTTGTAAGGGATAAAATGCTTTTCTTACAATACAATCATTAGTTATACACAGCCCTGAATTAAAACATTTTAAATATTTTAGCAAAGTGCATTTAGGAATCGGTTATTAGTGTGACTTTGAGGCACATTTTTAACTTAATAAATCTAAGATTTCGAAGTGTTTAGAAACTGTTGATAACAAATTTTTAACAAAATAAATCTAACATTTCGAATTTTTCAAAAACTGTTGATTACGAATCAAGAAAATAGAATATTTTCAAATAATAGAAATCACCTACCTTACTTTCCTACAATCCGCAACACGAATAACTGGCTGTGCTGCAAACGTGTTATTATACTAAACGAGGCCCACGCTGTTCAAACAAATTATACAATGTAGTTAGATAATTAGAAATGACAAAAAAACAAGAACTGAAATAGACGTCAAACTATATTAAACACATGTTGAATCATTTAAAAGGTGTAATTTAATCAATAATGGCATCCCATACATTGCCATTGCCAAGAAAGTGACAATGTTGTGTTTAAAACATGTTCAGTCAAGTGTTTGTCATTACATTATACTCTTAAGTAATATCTAGAAATGCCATATTTGCTTGCCCTTGCCTAGCCAGCTGAACATTCCACCAGAGCAATTTTTTACACTTATATTTTTAGGAATGCCCCGCTAGATTGCCGTGCCAGCTCGGAATTTCAGGACTATATTTAAGAATCCCGAGCTAGATTTCTTAGCCGGCTTAGCATTCCTGCAGAGCAATTACACTATATTTAGGAATGCATGCCCTGCTTGATTGTTTAGCCAACTGAGCATTCCAGCAGAGCATTTTTACAATATATGTAGGAATATCATGCTAGATTGCCTCGCCAGCTCTGCATTCCAACAGGGCATTTTTACACTATATTTTGGAATTTCTTGCCAGATTGCCTAGCCAACTGAGCATTCCAGCAGAGCATTTTCATTCTATATTTTAGAATGCCTCGCTACATTACGCTGCCACCTGAGCATTTTACTATAATTTAGGAAACTTCGCTAGAATGAGCATTTTAGCAGAGCATTTTCAGTACCTAGCACATGAAAAAAAAAAAAGATTTCTGACTGAGGTTTACCAGCTGTATGAATATTTTGTCCTTACAAATATTTGATATATCTGCAAAATTGACAAATTGGTATGTTATAAGAAATGTTGTTATGTCTTTCAGTCTCAGTCCAAAACATCAGATTCTGGGCATAGCAAAGTCTAAGAAAACATGACGATAACAATGTTGGCTATACAGATTATGATGTCGATGCTGTCAAAAGGCGATAATTATCAAGATATGGTGTAAATACTGATGGACAATGATAAATAGTAACGTTTATAGTTTATGTTATTTTATGTGATAAACGATCAATGTATCAAATTGTTAATATGAAGCGTTAACTTGTTTGTAACATCACTGAAAATCCACAATTATTAAATGTAGAAATAATGTTTAGCAGATGTTACTTTACAATTATAAAACAATCGATTTTGATTCTTGTACATGGTGAAGGTATTAAGTGTTTGTAAAATCTTATCTACTCAAACAGAAGATAAATTTTGCAGTTTCGTAAACTCTTTCCTAAGTTTAATTATTTTGACATTATAAAAGGGACCGATTCTGTGGCCAAAGAAATAGGCTATAGAAATTCATTTTGAATTTCCGACGATAGTTGCTATAATATCAAAGTTTTGGCAACAGATTGATAAATGAATATATCATAATTTCCCTTTTTCACCAATAAACATTATAATAATGATGCCTCGTTTACATATATATTACAAGCTGTTATCATAAAATTAATAAAAGTGTGGTTTTTGTTTAACGCCGAGAACAAATATGTGGTTTATATCTTGTCAGTTGTACGTCCTAAACTTGGATCATTTACTGGAAAACTATTAAGCTGAACAATTACTAAAAAAAATCTGGAAACAAAGTGATCTCCTCGGAAGCATTAATCACAAGAACAAAATACACTCGGTTTGAATGAAAGTCTGTACAATAATTCAACAAGAAATTTCTGAAATTCAGTGGTTAGAATAAAAATAACCGTAACATTCAATATCAAATATACATTGGGCATGGAGAAATTTTGCCTCGCCCGGAGATCGGACAAAGGTACTCTTGGAATAGAAGTGGGATGCATTCTCTATTTAGCTTTCGGTGCTCTTCATTTCGAACTTCTGATACCTTGACATACCGATGTTTTCCCTATTACGCTTTAAAATTTCTATTTGGCTGCCGATATTCTCCTTGATGAAGCTCTGATGCCCTTCTTACTGAGTGTCAAATACTCTCTCTCTCTCTCTCTATTGAGCTAAATTAAAACTGCCATCAAATGTTTTAAATCAAATGTATGTGTTATAAAACATATTTTCAACCATTAACTTCATTAAATATAACGTTGTTTCATTTCCTCTATTATAATAAATCTATTTTGCAATTTGATATGAAGATGGCAAAAAAAATAAAATAAATAAAATAAAATAAAAAAAATAAACGGCCATATGTTAGCTTTTATAACAAGCTCTTGTACTTTTGTAACCATGTTGGTTAGCACTTTAAAGTCACGTTTACATATTTTTGATATGAAGATGGCAACAAAAAAACAGAGAAAAAACAAAGGCCATATGTTATGGTTAATAACAAGCCCTTGTACTTTCCTAACTATGTTGGTTAGCACTTTAAAGTCACGTTTACAAATTTGCGATCAATCAAAGGCAGCATATGCCTTGTCTATCAGCCAAAGCTTACATTTATTTTTAATCTAATATTAACAAAACAGCAACATATTCGCAACATGTTATTACAGATAAAATATATGATGGATTCAAGTAGTTAACTGATTATGGGTAATGCTATCTACAAAATATCAGCTAACTTTGGATGAAATCTTTACCTTATTTGAGACAAATTGTTATAAGGTGTCTAACTTTAAAGGAGCGCCACTGAGATCTATATTATCTAAGTAAAATTTGATTTCCCCCTAAATCAACTGGTTAATCAGCAAATAAAAAAGATGCTAAGATAATACAGAAAGGTACTCGATCATGCAATTCTTCTTCTTTTTTAAATGAAAAGCGCTGCAACGTTTTCGTTTTAGGGTCAAGTCACACAATAGAAAATATTATCCCTGAAAAACGGATTGAATGAATGATCTGAAACACACGGATTATTGATCAACACATACATCCATTGATAGGTCCCTACTCTGACCTTTCATTTGGATAACAATAGATTTAACCACAGCCATTGACATGTGCTCTTTTTTTAACAAATATGTTGCGTTGTATTCGCTAATCTGATTATTAGAATTGGACAGGTCAGGGATCTATGCATTGGTACAGCAATCTTCAAAATTTTTTTTGCATTTTCATGACAATTAATAAACTTCAGTTGAGTCCCTTTAAGCACATACTTTTATAACAATTCTACCTAAATTGATATGAGGTATCTTACTAACCTGAGGCACACAGTTATAAGAAGTTTACCTTAGCTGGGTTGAGATATCTACCTCTACCTAACTTGGGTCATTTTATCATAAGATGTCTACCTAACTTAGAACATACCATTACGAGATGTCAATATAAATCTGTGTAAGATGACTACTGTTAAAATATGTACCCAACTCTCATATATCAACTCAACTTTGGACCTTATATCTACCTTATAACTTTTGGATGTAGGACATGAGTAATATAGTCTTCTAAGCAATACTTCACATCAACTATCTAATTGACCCCAGGATACAGTCTCCTGTAAGCACAGGGAAATGATAAGTAACTTTTTGTATATGACTACAAGATTACCATTCATACCAGATATCTAAGTTAGTTCTATAAGAATAATAGTAAATCACAGGGAAGCTTCTTTCAAATGCTTAAAGATAATTAAAAGGCTGGCCCTTATCTCTTTCAAAAGATTTGCAATTATGTCATGTAAACTATCCTTCTTATTTCACAATTTCGACCCTATCAATTTTTATTGTCAGCCTACCATTACAAATTTCTTGTAGACCATTAACAATATAACAATATTTTACTGAAATTTGCTGATTATCAAATTTAATATGTAGTACTAAACATTATAAGTATTGTTGTTCACAGAAATAATTAACACTCTTATTCCAAACAATGGGAAATTTTCTTATCCGAGGACCCCTCCATTTCCCAGACAATAATAAGGGCCATGTCTTCTGTCAAACAAGGAATAATATTTATGTAGACATAAAAAGTCAGTTAAATACATGCATTCTTGATAACGATGTTTCAGCCAAAAGGATTCATACCCAAGTCCATGACTATTTTCCGTGGAAAATCCCCATAGTACATAAATTATACAGTGCTGGTGGGACGTAAAACCTAAACAAAAAGAAAAAAAAAGAAAAACAAGTACATGTTACAAGTAAAGGGAAGGAATACGATTACCAGTATTAAATATTATTGAAACAGTTACCTTTTCTTGATATCATAACAAATCTTGAAGCACGTACATGATTTTGTTGTTTTAATGTGAAGTTAAATACTGGAAACTGAAGTTCGCGAAAGCGTTATTTATGGTTGTTATTAATATTTCAGCTTTGACTTAAATTTAGGAAAATGTTAGCTTTACTTAATGTTTACGAGAAATTTTGATAAATGTATACAGAACTTACAGTTAATTTTGCGTATAAAACACAGACATTTATTTACAGTAAATGCATTGAAAATTTTACATTTACTGTATTGTCAGTTGGGCTGTGTTAAAAACTAACTTAGGACTTAATCATAACCGTTTCAATAAATGATTTAACCTCCAGTCAAAGAATTTAGTCTATAATTAAATTCATCCTGATGAAAGTTAAGAAATACAATGACAGACCCTTTAATTCGTGATGTTCTATTGCTCACGTGTATTGCTATTCAAAAATAAAAGAGTCATAAAATAGTAAGCATTAGGTAAGATGTTTTCTTTGAAACGAAATATTGTTCCAGTTTTTGTCTTAAGAGTGATTTTAAGGGCAGGTCAACTGGGGTATATTTCCTTAAACATGAGGGCCATTACTGATACGCTCATCTGAGATTTATTGCTAGAAATATTCACAAGTTTATATTGCATTGTTAAAGTCACTATAAGATCATATTTAGTATGTCACCTTTTACCAAAACTGTATAAAATTTGAAAAATATTTGTAGATGTTTGCAACGAAATGTGTCCTGACAAATGTCTAAACGTTCGACTCAAGAAGACAAATGTGTTGAACAATATTAGTCTATCAGTGACCCCGAGCGACGTGAGAACAAAGATCATCTAAAGGACATAATGAATTTTGCTTATACTGAAAGGTAATTCTACATGAAAACTATCAAAATATTTTACCTGGGCATTGTACCTT